ATATCTAATATTGATTATTGATAAAAACATAAACATCTTTGTTTCTCTTATTAAAAACTTTTCCGAAATACAAAAACGTATTAATATAAAGATAAAATTTTAATGTAGTTTAATATATATATATATATATATATATATATATATATATATATATATATATATATAATATTAATATCTAAAACCAACCTTTTTGTATTTCTACAATTATTATTTAATGATATGTCTGTAACTTTTTTGAAATAATTATTAAAATATATAAAATTGTGTATATACATGATTTCATTCAATAAAGTATCATTGTAAAATTCTTTTTCTTTTATAATGATGATCGCATAACTAAAATTGCTTTTAATAAAAAAGTATAAAGTCGTTTTTCTAATAATCAATAAAGATTGATAATAAATATAATTAAGTGTTTTTTAGTTAAGTTATTATTTTTTTATAAAAAAATAATTATTTCATTTATAAGTTTTGATCAGGACTTCAAATTTGGTCGAAGGGTAAGTTAAGAAATGGTAATATTTTATCAATTTCAAAAATTAAAAATTAAACAAATAAAAGCATTTTATTTTTTTATAAAATCAAAAAATAATAATAAAAACTAAAAACAAGATATCGATTGATGTGAGCCAATTTAACTATTTAGACAATGCGGAAGCTTTTACTTATTGTTATATCAGAAAAGGCTCATTCCCACAAATTTCCTGATGTTCATCATCAAAATTTTGCAATATCTCATGAAGAAAGACAACATTTCGATAAGTTTATACATTCACAGAACAATTCCAATATTATTCAAAAAAATTGATAACATAAGAAATAAGAAGATGTTACAAAGTGTCTTGGTCAAACAGAGAATGGTTGCAGATTATGTCATCAACAGCGAAGCAATAAGAAGTCATATGAGTGAAGAGCAAATGAGAGTTGTCAAAAAAGCGGTGTTAATAAGCCACGCTTCATTAAGTCGTAATACTCTTGATAGAGCAAAAACACTTGCGATTAGTTACAAAAGCGCAAAAGAACAAATAAATGAAACTAACACAAGGCAGCGCGAACAAATAAAAAGAGAAAGTAATCTTTTCAAGTGCTTGGCCATTTCGGTTGACTCTACCACCAAAAACGACAAAGAACTGTTCTGTGTAATGATGAGGTTGGTTAAAGGTCGGTTTGTATATACGTTGCCTCTTGCAGAATATA